CCTTTGAAAAKCATAAAGGAACCCAGTTTTGGCCTCCTTTTCTAATCAGAACATGCAGCTACACACAGGGCAGTCAGCTCCCCAGCCTTCTAGGAGGTCAGGGGTTTGTTTTGTGGCCCAGATTTGAGAATCCCTCGAGAGCTCTCTGGAGAGCAGAGCTGGTGGATGTTTGGAAAGCAGTCCCCTGGTGTTTTTTATGGGACTCTGCAGCATTATTTGGATGTACCAAGGAGGGCTGGGGTAGCCCTGCAGCACAGGCACATGTGGGTTTGATTGCTACATTTCCAAACGTGTCCTGCTGTTAAAAACAGGAATGCAGGAGTTAATGCAGTCTGGCTGTGTCATCTTTCATTTCGCTGTTATCTCATGTGGSAGTTTTAATGCTCTGTTTGTGTTGTCTCTTTTGATGTCATTTCTGTGTGTGACACYGACACTTGTCTCCAGCTGGGCCCTGCAGCCCAGGTATTGATTCCTGCCAGGAGAGCCACGTTAGCTGCTGCTGGCTGCAAGAGAGCTTTGAAACCTGAGGTGGGCAGAGCCCCAGGAGATCCCCGCACTGCCTGCCTAGTACATGGAACAAGAGCTGTTAGAATAGTTTGGATATCTCCTCCTTATTTTTATCCTTCCCTCTAGCACTGCTTTTTGGAAAAGCTCTCCTCCTTTCCCTGGGCTGAAATCACAGTGCTGTTACAAAATTGTCAGGGGTCGGAAGMTGCAAATGGCAGACCCTGCTCAGCYCTGAGCCAGAGATGTGATTGCAGCTGAAGGGCTCTTTCAGGGCCAAAGGGCAGATCCTACTCTGCTAAGAAATCTCCCATAAGAATGATCATTAAAATCCACATTCAACATAAAATTTTCACTTACAACAACAAAAATACAAAAAACCCCAACTAAACTAAACTAAACTAAACAGACAAAAAACTTTCCTTCCAAATATTCCAACACAAAACAAAAGGACAAATTACACATGATCCACCCCTAGAACCTTCACTATCATTCTACTTTAAAAACATAGCTTAATGCTTGTTTTGCCCATTATTTTCTCCCAGTTGGTATTGGGAGAAATCTCCCAAGAGTCTCCCTGAGTGAGTGCCCAGTCACAGTCTTGGGGATTGTGGTGTATCCCACCAAGTTCCCATCTTCTGAGCAAAGTTGAATTAATTTTACTCTTCTGAGAAACACTGAAGTAATGCAGATGGTTTGGCTAAACTTAAGGGTGGGTAATTGGATGTTTGCTGTTCAGAATTCTCATGGCAATTCCATTTGGGTGTAGGATTGCTGGGTTTTGCTCCAAGTTACAAAAGCACCTCAATGCAGGTGTGGAAACAATTGCTGTGCTTTGCAGCACTTCATGGGTTAATGCAGAGAAGGTGGTCTCTGAAAATGCCCCTAAAAGCAGGAAGGAAAATTTTGCTCCTACATAAAACAGGAAGAAAAAATCATAACACACACACACACACAAAAAAAACCAAAAAAAAAAAACCCAAAAAAACCCAAAAAAACCCCAAAAAAACAAAAGGCAATGAGAGCAAAGAGAAAGTGAGTCTCTACCAGTCTATGTAGTAGCTGGCGTGAACTGGGAGTCCTGCCTTTCTGGGGGGTCCAGACAGATCCAAATACTGGAATAAAACCAGAAAGAGACTCAGAAGAACCATCTGGGAAAGGAACCTGTGCTCAGAGTGATAACCTGCAGCACAAAGTAAGCTTTGAGCTCAGACACACTTGTGGCTGTTGACCACTTCTCCTTGGAGAGTGGCCTCTTGACCATGGCCAGATCCTGAGAAAGTGAGGCTGGAGGACAAAGGAGCACAAGCCAAGAGCAGGCAGAGATGAGTGAGCTGTGTCGATGTGAGCTGGGTCTGAGGGAGAACAGTGCCATGGATGCTGTCAGCCACCCATCCAAGGGTCACCAGAGGAGGGTTTTTTAGCCAGAGGGAGCAAGGGCAGCAGTGCTAGTTCAKATGCCTGGTTCAGGGAAAAGGAGGCAGTTTTTGAGCAGGAGGTGAATGGGATTTTAACTTGAACACAGATGGGATTAGTGTTACACCCCAGCTGGATGTTAATGAACACACCATTGTGGTTCCAGAGGTACCTTGGTTYGTTTCAAAAGAATAAACATTAAAAGTAAAATTTCATGGCACTACAAGAGTGAGCGAAGATAGAAAGTGTGGTAATGACCAAGTGGGAAGGAGAAAATGTGAAAGAATAGAGGCAAAAATCCCCRTGACTGGGTTCAGTTTAAAAAGTATCTGTGACCGGGTTGTGCACGTAGCAAAACTCTTGCTCATGACAGAAAAAAGTGTAGTGCTGTAATGATTAGGGAAAGAGTTCAGTTACCTGGCAGTTCACATCCCTGGGAGCTTCCCCTTCTCCAAAGGGGAGAGTTCATGGCTTGCAAGAGAATGAGTGTCACCCTCAGGGCTGGGAAAAGAGGATGAAGAAACTCTTGGCCTCTGTGTAGGCTGAAAAGAGATTAATAATGTCTGTACTTGTATATTTGTGTATATGCCTAAAGGAAACATTTTCTGTGACCAGAAAATGCAWGGATTGGATTAAATAGAAACAGAGCGTTTTTAGCTTAGGAGGCACGTGGCAAATGCCCATAAAAGTGTCAGCTACAACTGTGCACAYGGCTGAAAAAAAATGACAAACTTTCCCAGCAGTCTGGATTATCATTGCCAGAGRGAAGGGTCAGAATAAGAATGAACACTGCCAGTAAACAGTGATCAAAACAAGAGCCCAAGAGCTGCTATTGCTGAGCTGAGGGTTTGTATTGAACATTGTATTTAGGTCCTTGCTTGCAGCTCCCACTGCAGCCTCAATGCTAATACTGAGAGAGTTGAAAAAGTGGTTTTACTTTTTAAAAATTGCAAAATAAATATCAGAGGAAGTCTAAAATATTTTATTAAAGGCTCYGATGAGCTGCAGGATGAGGACAGCTTTCCCAAACGCTGATGGGACAYCATTAAAGGCTGCAGTGCATGCAGCTGCTGCTTCTGCTCCGTTAGCAAGTGCCAGTGTGAGGAGAGCTTCAGTCCTGAGTAATTCAGGAATTGCTCGTGCTTGTAGAGATTCGCTGGGTTTGTGTCTAGCACTGGGAGCCAAAAGGTTTCCAAGAACTTCCACTACCAGCAGAGCCCGAGCTGGATCCCTACGGAACTGAGGAGATGGGGATTCACCAACAGGAGATGGGGATTCACCAACAGGAGATGGGGATTCAGGAACAGGAGCTGGGAATTCACCAGCAGGAGATGGGGATTCACAAACAGGAGCTGGGAATTCACCAACAGGAGATGGGGATTCACCAACAGGAGCTGGGGATTCACAAACAGGAGATGGGGATTCACCAACAGGAGATGAGGATTCACCAACAGGAGATGGGGGTTCACAAACAGGAGATGGGGATTCACCAACAGGAGCTGGGAATTCACCAACAGGAGATGGGGATTCACAAACAGGAGCTGGGAATTCACCAACAGGAGATGGGGATTCACCAACAGGAGATGGGGATTCACAAACAGGAGATGGGGATTCACCAACAGGAGCTGGGGATTCACCAACAGGAGATGGGGATTCACCAACAGGAGCTGGGGATTCACCAACAGGAGATGGGGATTCACAAACAGGAGATGGGGATTCACCAACAGGAACTGGGGCTCGCTTCCCACAGCAGCACTGATGAGCTGTGGCTGTGGAGACATTTCCCAGAGCAATCTCTCCTCATCAATGAGCCCGTGGAAGCCGGGACAATGATACACCGAGCCAGTCCCCATCTTTGAATCGATCTCCCCTGTCTGCCTGAACAAAGGGCCAGCCTGACAGGCGAGGGCAGCGCCTCTGAATAGGCTGACACAAAGTGAAATGACTGCAGCCCTATCGCTCTTTGTSAAGTGTGTGAGTGGTGTTAAACACACAGCAAACCTGGACTGTGGTGGCACTGAACCCCAGGGCTTTGTTAGCTGTCTGAGGAGGGGGAAAAAAATCATTAAAAAAAAAGAGAGAAGTTATTTGAATGTCTTTGAGACTGGAATAGTGAGCTAGAAAGAACAAGATTGCTATTATATATCATAATGGCCAAAAGCTAGCAGGAGTCAAAAGGGATTGCCATTTCATAGAGTCGGGAAGAACGTGAGAAGTTGCTGTTTCTTGAAACAAAAGTGGATTGAGAGGGCTATAAAGCCACCTGCTCAGTGTATGAACAGCCCTCTGGGGATGGAGATAGAAGAGAGGTGCCAATGGGAATTAGAGAGCTCTACATTGCAGGATATCCCAAAAAGAGATCACAGAATCCCAGAGTGGTTTGGGTTGGGAGGAAATCTAAAGATCATTCAGTTCTACCCCCTGCCATGGACATGGACACCTTCCACTGTCCCAGGCTGCTCCCAGCCCTGTCCAGCCTGGCCTCGGGCACCGCCAGGGATCCAGGGGCAGCCACAGCTTCTCTGGGCACCCTGTGCCAGGGCCTCCCCAYCCAGATATGGAGGAGGGTCCTGATGTGCACAGAAAGTTATGAGAGAGGGCTAAAAAAAATGATGTTCTTAGAAGATTCTTTTTGGCCTAAACTGTTTTTTGTGACCTGACCCTGTTTCCCAAATCACCTGTCACCACTGGCACCTCCTCATCTCTCCTCCACTGCATTCACCTTTTGGCCTGAGCAAACAGTTCCTGTTTCAGTTTCACAGCTGAAGAAGAAATCCTGTGCTTTCCAACACTCAGCCCATTAAAAGCCTATTCCAGGCTGGATATATTATTAGTTACTCCTTTTCCTAAAGGGTGCCATGATTGAAATCTACTCAGATTTTCACCAAGGTTTGTCTTTGATTAACTCAACGAACAGAGCACAGCGACTCCGTGGCTGCCGCTGCTGGTGTGCCCAGAGCTGTGCGGGCTGCTGTGCCTCATTTCTAACTCTGCTGTACTCTTTTCCTTTCATTTCTGGGAACATTCCCGACACCCAAGGCTCTGTGGTSTCTAACCTCCCTTTTCTCTCTCCCTCCCAGCGTTTACCAGCTCGTGGTCAAGGAGGAGAAGCTGCAGAAGGCGCGGCGAGCCGCGGACATCATCGAGTGCTTCTCGGTGCCCGTGAGCTACAAGAACGCCTCCAGCCTGGACTCCCCGCACTACTTCGCGGCCGAGCTGAAACCCATCAACCTTCCCGTCACTCAGCCCTTCACTGTGGGCGACAACAAAACCTACAATGGCTACTGGAACGCTCCCCTCTCCCCCCTGAAAAGCTACAGCATCTACTTCCAGGCTCTCAGCAAGGCCAACGGAGTAAGTGCGGGGGGAACTGAGCTGGATCTGTGCATGTGGCTGCCTCTCTCTGTCCTCCTCCTCATCATTCTCCTTTCTGCTCGATTGGATGCTCGGTTTAACATCTTCTTATTGCCCTCTTACAGAAATCTGATGAAAATCAAGCATKCCATTACTTGTCCTTCACTCAAATCTCTCTCTGATGCTCAGGCCCAATGAGAAATCCTTTGAGGACCTTGATTCTGTAAAGGCACATGTTGCCATGGGATTTACTAAACGAGCTGCTTAGAATTTAGAGACTTTTTTTTTTTTTTTATCCTTCCATAAGCACGAATGTCAGAGTCGGGGCTATTGTGCTTTTAAAAGACATAATTGCAGTATCTTGATGGCTCACAGAGCTGGTGATTTTGGAGATGTTATGAATTTGGATTACCTTGGCAGCTCRCACTTGGCCATATCATAATGCAGAACTCGTGGTTGGGAGTTTCAGCTTGAGGAAGTCAAATCCTGCAGCGGGGTCTGTCTGTCTGTCTCACCCCTTTGGAATGTTGTATTTTTATATATCCTTGCTCTGGGATATGGGGTTTGAAATACATCCTGCCCCATCCTCAGCTCAAATGACACACACACAGTGCCAGCACTGAGCCCAGCCCACCATGGGAGAACAGGAGGCCTCTCTCCCCTCTCCTGTTGCACTTGAGGATAGTTTGTGACCTTTCCCTCTCCTGTTTCAGGTCAGTTCAGGGGTGTCCAGGTCAGATCCAGCCCCAGTGGGTCACCTTCCTCCCCTTTCCCCCCTCCAGTTGTTTTCTATTAATCTATAAAACAAGAGAATTTGACACTCTGGCCTCGTGAAGAGTCTCAGAGTCTTAAGGAGGCATCACAAATTTGGGTAGCAGAGTCTGCTATCAGCAGGTTTGTCAGTACTTTCAATTTTAACATAAATAAATTCTCCATGATATCACCCCTGAGAGAGCCAAGTTAAAAAAAAAAAAAAAAAAAAAAAAAAAAAAAAAAAAAAAAAAAAAAAAAAAAAAAAAAAAAAAAACAAAAAAACAAAAAAACAAAAAAAAACAAACCAAAAAAAACAGTCAAAGGTAAATGTTGCAGGCTTTTGTGACTTTTCTACCCAAAATGCAGCCGCCCATTGCAAAGGTCTGTGATGGTTTCACAGGCTGGCAGTGCCAACGAGTGTTCACAACACATCTCAGTGCTTTACACCCTTCATTTATCAMCATTTTCCTGCAGAGCTTCAGCTGTGTGGCTGACAAGTCTAAAATCTCTTCTGCACTGGGCTCGTTTTCACCTTGGTTTCCTTTCTAGCCAACAGTTTCCTTCCAGCACTGCTCAATTCATTCAATTTTTGATTTGCCTTCATGAAGGAAATTGTGAAATATCTGTACATATCTCTCTGTTTCTAGTTAGTTCCCCCATGTGTGAGAGTTAATTGCCGGAGAATGGGTCCCGAGGGAAGAAAGAGACTTTATTTGCTTAAGTACAATATAATATTCCATAAATGGGTCATGTGAATGGAAATGTAGGATTCCTTCCTYGTAGGMTTTCCTTCRTTGTAGGAYTGTAGGATTTCCTTCMTTKTAGGATTGTAGGATTCCTTCCTTGTAGGATTKTAGGCTGAATCCTTGGCAYTCWGGATTCAGGCAGCACTGATGTTCCTGCTTTCCCTGCACCTCTGGAGCTGCTCACTCTTCATTCCAGGTGTTAAGGACTTAAAAAAAAAGGATGACTTGCCTGAGCTGTTCTTACAGGAACAAGATTGGAAAGTGTTTTTAAGCATAAGTTAATCAAAAGAGYCTTTATATGCAACAACTCATGGTTTATGGCAGGATGAGAAGTATCCAGGCAGACACAGTAAATTCCTATTWGAGAAAGCAATTTCCTCCCGAGTTAATAATTTATATTTCCACAATATATGCTTATATATCCTCAAAGTGCAGTGCTGTGGGTAAAAGTACAGAGGAAATGCCCAAGAGTGGAGCGTGGATCTTCAGAGGAGGAGCTGGGATCCTTTCTGTTTCTGGGTAAAATCATGAAACCCCATATTTCAAACATTAGGGTCAATTTGCATCCAGCCTTTTGCARCTGTTAATAGCAATTTTTTTATTCCATTCCCAGAATTATTTACAGGTATTTTTCGAAATTAAGGGTTCTGGGTTTATCCTTGTCTTTAATCTGAGCAGCTTTGGCTGKYYTYMAAAAAAWYCT